CCATGTGGTTTTAGTTACCAAAAATAAGTGGCTAAGGTATTTTGAAGGAAAATAGTGGTTTTATTTAAACTAGAAACTCAGATTTCACATGGATACAATTAAGTGAGTTCCATCAGTGCTCTATTTTAACTGAAAGAATCTGGTTTGATTTCATTAAATCCAGCTGAAGGTATATGTGTTGGTTCCCTCTATAGCACACAGAAAAAGAAAAATTCATATCCCCAGGCAGATTGATGCTACCTGAGGCAGTCATCAATATTAGCATGTACATGGCCTGCATTTTTTTTCTCAGTCCAAGAAGCTTTGATGATTAGCTTGCATCACCGAATGTTTTAATGGCTAGATATTCGACAAATTCCAACACAGGCCAACTGGAGCAGTTGACAGAGACGTCACTGTGGGTCAATTCTGCGTAACCTTATTTGAGGAGAGTGTTTATCACCTTTTTGAAGTACTTGTTCTTTGCACAAGAAATCTAGCCTAGTAGTTCACGTGTTTGGTATGGTTAAGATTAGGCATGAAGAATCACACGCAGCTTCAGCAAGTTCCTCTGCAAGTGATCTTCTGCCTTGCTGTGCAACCCACTGCTAAATGTCTCTGCCATTCTGTTTAAGAGGACTGATCAGCAAAAAACAACACCCAAGTGCAGGCTGTGGAGGAAGATGTTTTCCAGGCAAATTACTTGGAACCCCATCACTGAAAAACTGCATCAGTATTTTCACTAATATCATTCCCAGTTGGTGTTTATTAGGCCCATCTGCAAAAGTAAGAGAACTGGCGGCCATGAAACAGGCCATTCACTTTCATGATCATTAAGTCCCATTGAAAAAGTACTCCCACTTGGCTGCTGATTCAGACTAATTTGTTAGGTTAAGCAAACATGCCCTGAACTCCGCCCTAAAGATGGCTGTCATATGTGAATGAGAAAAAAACAAAGAGGGTGTGCATTTCACATGTCATTTGGATTCAATAGACAAAATTTCCCTTTTGTTATCCCTAGTAAGTACGCCTCATTTTCCATTCAGAAGAGAAAAAAAATCTCAACAGGATTTCCAATCAAGCATTTCATCAGAACTCTCTGCTTTTGTATTGCAGATTTCTAAATTTCTAATTTTAGTATGCTAGCACATGTTTTCTGTTAACAGATCTTCTCTTTCTCATTTATACTTGACCTAATGTACATCATTAATTAAAGTTGTTAGTATCACAATATGTCTGCTCTTCATGTGTTCCATTACTTCTAAAAACAATGTTTTAATGCTGTTTTTCTTATCTACTGCTCTTTTATCTTTTTATGACAGATTTTTTTGTTTTCTATTTCCCAATGTACATGGTTTGCCACTCTTATGTATCAAAAACGATCATTAATATACTAAATGGTATCAGAAAAATAAAGCATACATTGATTAGAGTTCAAAATTCTCTTTTAACAACCAAAAATACAATAGCCCTCCTGATGGTCTAGTAAGCATTGTTACGGATATCTCTGATGGCAATAACCTAAAAAGTAGTCAAAATTCCCTGTGCCATCAGCTAGTAACACATTGTAATACCAAGGGGAAAAAAAAAAAAGAAAAAGAGAAGCATTGAGGGAAAAAACATCAAATATCACAAAGTCTCTCAAATGGAAAGAAAGCCATTTGTAGCTGCCCGAGCAGCATGAAGGCAAAGTAAGTTTGATTCAATCTTAAAAGTGATGACTAACTACCTGCAGCTATAATTGCTAGGATGTGGTCCTTTTGTCAACTCCACGCTCATTGAAGTGAGTGGAGTTAAACTAGGTAGAATCTGCAGTAAATAAGCAACTGGTCTACTGTATCCTACTTTTCACTACCACCACCTTCCAAAACAAACAAACAAAAAAAACCAACAAGATTTGAAATGGTTCATTACTAATGAAAATGCTTCTTTCTAGGTCTAATTCTTAAGAATCAAAGCATACAAAACCACTGAAGCATTCAAAAACTCTGAAACAACCACAGTTGCTACTGTAAAAACTGCAGTGTGTTATGATGATTGGAACAAGTTACCTTCAGTGCCATACTTCGATCCCTCTTTGAGTAGTGAGGCACTTCTTTGTTGTTTTGTGAGCACTAATTGCTGCAGAGCTGTGATAAATGATTGTTTCACTGTTTTCTTGAGCAGTAAGATGGATAATTGGATGATTACAAAGGGTAGCTCATTAAAATGGATATGAGTACAGAAATGAGATTTTCCAGCAAATCTGTGAGTAGTTTTGTACATTGATGCAAGCAATCTGTTGAGAAAAACTTTTCTTCCTACCTAGATCAAATCTGCTGTGTGCACAGCTTCTCTCAGAGGTAGGACTGGACATGACAACGATTACACTGGGCTGACTTTCTCCTCCATGTGCTGCTACTTTAAGAATTCTTAATCCTCTATTCAGAGACCTACTATACAACTCCTCCCTTATTACAGGTAACTCACTGGAACTCAAATTCTGTTCCCTGCCTGTAAGGAGGCATCTCAAGTGTGTTAGGAGTGCAGGAACTACAGAACATCATTGAAGGGCAGAATAACGTAATTTGAATGAGAATTTTTTTTTCCACTTTGGACTTTTAAGCAGCTTCCTCTCTAGAGCAGAAGACAGCAAAATGTTGTGTCCATGGCTGAATATACTTAAGATATTAGGTTTTTCACAGAATCACAGAATGCCAGAGATTGGAAGAGACCTCAGAAGATCAGCTAGTCCAATCCCCCTGCCAGAGCATGAATCCCTGAATTAGGTCACATAGGAACATGTCCATCTATAGCATATGTTCACAGGCAGTATATGTATATGCTAACTGACAGTGACAGTAGGCTGTGACTCCTCAGTGGCTGGAGAAAAATGAGACTGTCTGCTTGCTATGGAGGTTTTTTCAGACTTAGGAATCTTGAGTTCCACTATGGGGTCCATAGTATGAAATGAAGACAGGCTTGTTTATTCTTCCCCAGTTTCTTTTGGTTCCACTCATGGCAGCATGTGTTTAATTAATTACAGAATCACACAAAATCAGAGGATGGAAGAGACCTCTGGAGATTATCTAGCCCTATATTCCTTCCAAACGGTCACACTTTTTTCCACTTCTATATGTTTTCTTCTATGAGTTTTTCCATGGGCCCTTGCCCATATTCCCAGTTTCATCCTCCTTTTCAGGGACCACATATTTCTGGTCCTTAGATACTAATTTTTAAAGTCTATGCAGAAAAAGAAAGAAGAGAGTAGAAATTCTCACTGATGCAAGTATTATTGTCAGCTGGTGAGATGGATGGTTCACACGACTGGAATGCTGAAGATCTTTAATTAAAATGTACTTGGGAGAAGAGGTGAAAGTAGTGAAAGATGTAGTGGTAGTACTACAAAGGCACTCTTAGCTGGCCTGAATATCCTAATAATTCAGAAAATAATTACCAGTGTGCTAAAAAACGAAAGACAAGAGAATACAGCAGTGGGAAGGAGAGAGAGCTTTTATAAACCATGAAACATATCAAAATTACTTATGACTTGTCTGAGGCAGAAGCCAAGATGTGGGGAAGAAATTGTCTTGCCATGGGAGAATTCAATTTCAGAAATGTAGCATGGAGGTCACACAACTTATTAAAGTTTCTAAAATTATTCCTTGTGATCCTTTAACTCTGAAAGTATTACTGCTCTCAATACAGCGTAACTCAATTATGGGTCTCACTGCAATGGGTAGAGCTGTATTAATTCCTGGCCTGGAGTCAGTGAGGAATAACTGGAGATGATAGATGGGATATATGCCATGTAGTTTTAATCATCTACCAGGAGTTTACAACTAGTTGCCCTGGACACCTTCTGCAGAGGAAAATAGGCAGGGCTGGAAGGCAAGTCATGATGACTTAGAGCCCTAGGGTATTTCATCTCATCTCATATTAGTTATCCAAAGGTTAGATTTCTTCCCATCCAAATTCCTTTCTGTCAGTGCAAAGGGCAAGGCACCACCAGAATGTGAATTATTACATTTAAATAGGTGTCTAAAATGGGCAAGGTAAATCCCCTGTACAATAATTGATGCTGCGAAATGGCTAAATTCCCATGGCTGATGAAAATCATGAGTGAAGTTGTCTGGAGAAAAGTAGATAGAAAAAAAAAAAAAAGCAAATAAAAAAAAAAAAAAAAAAAAAAGAGAGAGGTCTAAAACAGCACTTAAGAAGCAAAGAATATTCCACCAAAGAGGAGGAAATCAGCAAAAAGCCTGCTCTGGTTCACTGGTAAATGGAAATAGCTATTAGAACCAGCTTTCAACTGCTCCCCAGTATAACATATAGAAAAGGTGGCAATGAATGTAGTAAAATAAATGAGAAGCTTAACGCCCAGGAAATCAACAGGAAAAGACGGAGAAATGCAAAGAAATAAATATGGCCAGAAATAAAAAAATAACAGCCAAAAAGAAGAAATGTTGAGCATTTGCTAATGATGTTGTTATTGGCATAAGGATTGATGGCTTGAATACATCTTATCTAAACTTTAGACATCAGGAGAATATATTACTCACATCTGAGCTACTGATCGTTCACTCTCTTTACACTCAGTTGAGAGGAATGAAATTTTAAGACAAAGTTCTTGTCATCCTAATGTAGTCATGTAAAACAGATCAGAGAAACTCTCCTAGAAGTGCTTATTTCCTTCCATGACTATAAAGAAAGAATCAACAGATGTAATTGGGAAAAAATGTCAGGTACCCAAGCTCTTCTCTGCTGAAATGTTTGCTTGACTTTCCAACTGTATCAGTTAATCTAATACAAATGTGTTACCAAGTGAAGAAGTCTTAGCAGTAAGAACTCAAAACTTGATATAGTAAAAATTTTAGTAGAGATGTACAAAACGTAAATAGGGTTTTTTCAGCACATCAGAACAGGACCCTCCAGCTCTTTAGAGGCTGTAAGAGGTATGGCAGATCTTGATGGTAAAATTTTAATCGCAGCACTATTTATCTAAATTGACTGAGAAGGCTGCTGGCCTGTTAATGTAAATTCTAGTGTTATGAAGTTAGGATACAATAGGTTAGACTGGTTAGCCTAAAAGAAACCATTCAACAAAAAGCTTCTGTCAAAGTTCAATTCTTTCCTCCAAAGCACAGAGCCATGAAATAAACACCTTAATGGGAGTAAGCAACAGAGTGCCCGAGCTTATCATTTCTGGGCTTATCATACAGAATAATAGCTACTGAATGGAATCTTTTAATTTAAGGGTATTTGTGCTACAATCCCTTCATAGTGAATGGAGCCAGACTTGGCCATAGGGCTTGTAAGAACTGCATCAGCTATGGGACGCTTTTCTCCTGTCGAGCATATTGGGGAGCCTCAAGCGATGGCTTTCATACCTTATGCTTAAGCTTTCCAGAACACTGACCTTGAGCCAGAAATGCAGTTTCAGGCCAAATGATTCAGCCCGAAATATTAGGCAAGGTTATTTGAGAAGCCTGAAAACACTGGTTTATAATATGTTGTAAATCTTTAACTACCAGGTATAGGCAGTTTTAGTCCACTGTAAGACATTTTTAGGGCACCTAATCTTTTTGAAAGATACTTTTCAGCAAAAAACAGGGAGCCAATGGCCTCACAAAGAACAGTTTCAAAAAGAAAGTGAAAAGTTTGCAGAAGATTGTTTTCAGCACACTCACACACACAAAAAAAAACATTCTAAATATTTTTTTAATTAAAAAAAATATGAAATGCATATATTTACAGTGGACTTTGCACTTTGACTCAGATTAGAAGAGAAGGTCTGAAGAAGTTTGTCAGTTTTTCCCTCTTTTAAAAGCAGACCAATACTTGCCATGTTCTGCAGAAATATTAGCTATTCCCATGTTAAGTGCTGATTGAAACGATCAATCCCTAACACAGGTACAGAAGGTGCCTTTACCATGTAAAAATACATTTCGCCACTTGAGGGAACCATTAGGCCTCACTGCTGGAGAAAAGGCTGCATTTCAAACTGGTATTAACTTCCACCTCAGAAAAGTGTTTGTAACTTCACTGAAAACACTCTGATTTTTTTCACTGATATAATATAATGTGTATATACTAGTGAAACACCGAAGCAGACAAGTGGCATTTAGTCAATATGTTTTGAATAGACAGTATATGGTATTTAAGTAAAATGAGAGATTAAGAAGCTTGCTCCTCTTGGAAAAGATTCATTGAGAATTTTACCAAATTACCTAAAATCAGATTACATTAACTTAAAAGGATAAAATAAATTACTACAGAAAGTAGAAGCACTCATGTCATTTTCTCACATGAGAAATCTCCCTGTTCAACACAGCGCTGTCCTTTGCTCATCATAGCAACTCATTGTCAAAGAAGTATATTCAGTGACATGATAAAACTTTCTTCCCTAGCTGTTATTTCCTTCTTTACCTCAGATGCAGAAATAGGCAGTGGAGTTATCCTTCTTTTGGAGGTTGGGGAAAGTAGATATTTTGTTCGATGATCTTGCTTTGTCCTTTGTACATTGTAGTTTGTGGGTAATCTTTAATTTTCATAGATGAATCATACAATGGCCTGGGTTAAAAAGGACCGCAATGATCACCTATTTTCAAACCCCCTGCTATGTCCAGGGTTACCAAACACCAAAGCAGGCTGCCCAGAGCCACAAGGATGGGGCATCCACAACCTCCTTGGGCAACCTGTTCCAGTGCATATTTTCTTATGTCACTGCATGTTCCTTCCTCTAAATGCTGGAAAAAGCAAAGGAAGTTACTGCAGCATAGGAAGTTCCGCACAAATGTGTGCAAGAACTTCTTTACAGTGAGGTGATGGAGCACTGGAACAGGCTGCCCAGGGAGGTGGTGGAGTCTCCTTCTCTGGAGATGTTCAAGACCTCCCTTGATGCCTACCTGTGCAACCTGCTGTAGGGAACCTGCTTTGGCAGGGGGGTTGGACTCGATGATCTCTGGAGGTCCCTTCCAACCCCTACAATTCTGTGATTGTGTGAAGTGCACTGAGCTGGGTACTTCGAACAAGCTGCAAAGTGTTCTTGCTAGATTCACATTTCTGAAGCAGTTCATTGCACTGCCTGATCCCTGCCCCTGAAAAGTTTTTCCTTCTGCAAAGTAGATAAGTAAAAGACAAATATTTCAGTACTTGTTGGGATCCCTCAAGAAATCGGTGCCTCAACATGACTCAGAGCTACATGCTGCTGCTGCATTTTAATGAAGATCTTGATAAAGACATATTTGTGCATTTCAGAAAACTGGGTAAAGGTTCTGAAAGACTTTTTTCACCCTTAGCAGCATGGCACTCTACAGTGCTCAGTGCGATCACAATTCTTCCTCTACAGCATCATGCATGATCCACAGAAGAATAACATGCATTATGCACTGTCACATGCCTGTGCAAATGGTTCTCTGAAAGTGCCTATGCTACTCTGATTATCAAAGCAAGCTCTGCAGTGGAAGCAAAGCAATTGGTGTCTGTCTCCAATTCGTTTTCCTTTTTAAGTTGTGTACTGAATGTAGGCTTGACAGGAACAAAGATCTTAACCACTATTTTTGCATTTTCTGCTACACTTCCTCTTCTTCAGCATCAGAGGCTGTTGTTACAACATATGAAAGGGTTTCATGCAGAGTGTCAGCTGGCAGCGAGGGGAAAACCTTCTCTTTACCACCCATCAGTACATATTGCTGCGTCGCATGCCATGCTTTGACACACATCAAAAGGCTGTTGAGTGTGGAGTTTCCGTGGTACTTTCCTACTTGTTTACACACTATCATTGGAATCTATCAACAGTCAGTAAGACTCATTGGTTGGTAAGTTTTCCCACACTCTCATTAGCTTCTCTGCTGCTGTTTGCTATTTGTTTTGCTATTCTGAGAGGGCAGTCACTCCTCTTGCCATTGCCTGCAGAGCACTAAAGCCCAAAGTTATTGCCTTACTACCACACCCACCCTCAGAAATGATTGATATGGGCTTGGGCAGCGTGCTTCTGTGCTGCGAGCTGTACATAAAGTACACTTACTGAGCTATTCTCCAAAAATCATAAATCATTCTCCTACTGTTTGTGTTTGCTTGCTAAGAGAAAAAAAAATGCCCTGAGATCAACCTACTACTGTTCAATACCACTGTACCAAGAAAAACATGCCTCAGCAGGTTGCCCAGATTTGCTAGTATTAGGCAATTTTATAAAAAGCTGAATATATTAACTTTTTCATGTCTTGTACAGAATGCTAGAAGTTTAGGGAAGACATTAAGTTTTATTTCCCCATTTCAGTTGATTTTTTTCCCTGATGAGTTTTCTCTGATTAAGTAGAATTCACTAGTAAAATGTTTATGCCTTTCTTATTTTTATTATCTACCTGTTAAATATTACAATTCTAAATTTGAAATGCTGCACATGGGAAAATATCAAAGTACTCTGGGATGCAAAGTTCTGTTCAATCGGAAGCGTGCAAAATATTTTCATCCTGCATAATCTGATTCTTAGCACATTAAACAACCAAGTGCAGATTTCAGCTGTACTTGGTGACTAAACTTATACAAGTTTGGTGAGGGAAAGAGGACAATAAAAGCTTCAAAGGTAAGAAATGAAATCAGTCTATGTGTCAAGGTAGTTGAGTTAGACACAAAACCAGCATGTTTACATGGGATAAATAGCCTTTAAATGTGATGGCGATGTGAGATGTCAATGACAACAATATCCTAAAATTAGTTGTTTCAGAGTTGGAACAGACTTTTTGCAACATGGTGGACTTCCTAACATACCACGTTGGTTCATACTCTATATGGTCATAAAAGCATCAGCTAAACATCCCTGTGGAAGGATCATTATTTTTCACTCAGAGGGTGGTGACGCACTGGAACAGGTTGCCCAAGGAGGCTGTGGATGCCCCATGCCTGGAGGCATTCAAGGCCAGGCTGGATGTGGCTCTGGGAAGCTTGGTTGGCAACCCTGCTCACTGTAGGGGGTTGAAACTGGATGATTATTATGGTCCTTTTCAACCCAGGCCATTCTAAGATTCCATGATTAAGGACTAGCTAACACATTTCCACAAATGCTTATTAAAGATGATCCAACACATAAATGCAATATTCATAGTAAGACTGTGGTAGTTTTATTTGGACCAAAACTGACATTTTTATTTGGTATGGAATATAAGATAAACTTAGTTCTAGTGTACTGTGTTAATGACACAAAAATGAGAACAGAACAGTTATACATAGCATAGACATACACAGCAAAATGAATGCTTGAATTTCTTACAGCAAGAAAGCTGGGAAACACCTTTAATAGCTGAGATCCATTAAGTTGATAAGGACCCTGATAGGTAAAACCATGAGCTTTCTTGGAAGATACAGAACAAAAAGGAGTATTAGAAACTCTAGGCTTTGGAAAATAGGAAGGTCTGTGTAGGACAAGATGTAATACTAAAAGGAGTGGAGCATGACATGCACTTTGCATGTTCACCTTTGTTAAATGATACTAAAACATACTGAGAGTAAGTTCAACCAATCAACCAACCAACCAAGCAGGTAACACATAAGAATAAGTTGTTTACTTGACATGACTGAATTGTGTTTCAGGTGCGTTGGTACACAGAAAATTCCTATGACTCAGAGAAGTAATAACAGGCATCTTTGTTGGTCAAAAAAAAAAAACAATGTGTGACATTTTTGTTAAGTTAGAAGGTTTGGACTTTTTGCAAGAGCTGTTTTCAAGTGGTATTAATGCACAAGGATAAACTGTAATATTACAACTATGGTAAATGGAAGTGCCCAAATAAATTCTGTTGATTTACTTTGTGTAGCTGCTACAGAATATACCCTCATGCATTACTGTTCTGGTTCTGATGTAATTAGAAAATAACTCTGAAAACAAGATAATGTAAGTTATAAAAGGCCCTTAACTACCAATAAACAGGAAATTCTACAGTTTTCCAAGTCTGAATCCATTTCTAGGAGATGTACACAAATCAAATGCAAGCTCTTCTGCTGGACGTAGGGAGAAATAGCTTTAATGTTACAGTAATGTATTGTGTACAAAGATCTGTTGGTGCCTCTTCTAGACTCACAGGAAATGAATGTGTGATTCACATTAGAAAAGAAAGGTAGTTAAGACAAGAGGTAAGTTGTAAGATGTCAGTCTTTGCCTCCTTTTCAAATAAGTTAGGTTAAAAAGTTTTAATGGATGAAGTTATTCCTATCAAATTTCAATTACTATAGCATAGGATATGCAGATTATCTATTTCTACAGTACCGTGTTAAAATTAGTCTCACCAATTATACTGTAATAGAAAAAGACCAGATAAATCTAAGCTGAGAGTTGAACAGTGTATTACTTAAAACACATATTAAGGAAACCATATATACATATATATGAATGTCCTATGAAAATCAGTAATAGGGTTGCATTTTAAACTTTGCTTTCCCACACTGACAACACATGGGCAGTTTAACAGTTTTAACAGAAAACACTTTGTTTGCTAACATCTTCATTTTATAGTCAGGTATAAAGATAAATCTAAATTATGTAGGACAGTTTTCTAAATAAAAAGCTACCTACTTTCAAACAACAGATGAATGTCTCTGGTTACATCTAGCCAGAACTAATACCTGAAGTATAAGAATAGACAAAGTACTGTAAATTCCATGAATGACAAGCACATAACTAAAATAAGACAAAGAAAAAAAATCTACTGTTCATTATTTTAATAGGAGTCACCGGTGGTCACTTTTGTTAAGAATGATCTTACCCAGCATTGAGCACTTAGTGTTACATGGCTGCTTAGTTAATATCCTCCATGCTCCAAGTTCCTCTGTTATCAGTGATCTATAATCAGTAATTGCTGGCTCTAGATAGTGAGTTGTTCCACTTTAAAATCCATCTGGATGCAGTACTCTCTTCACCTATTAATTCTTCTTTTTAGCTACGGGGAAACATACATTTGAGCATTTGAAGTTGGACTATCTGAAGGTTTCATCTGAACATACTTGTTCCTATGCCTTTTATAGCTGGAAAGCTTATGTCCACTTTTTACCCACGTGAGGACACTCTGGCAGTCTTATGTCTGCAGTATTGGTTGCAATATTATTTATATGAATTTCCCATACAACAAAATGCTGGCTATCGGAGCTGTAGTATCCCAAGAACGCAAATATGTACTAATACTATTTTTTCTGGAGGAAAAAAATATGTAGGTCTCAGTCTTCAGAGAAAAGAAGAAAAAAAAAAAAAAGAAAAAGAAATCAAATCTTATTTGATTGGCTTTACATTACTTTTTAAAGTAAAATTGTCACATACTGTGTAAAAACATGGAAATGGTAATATCTTTTTTCCTAAACAGCTTGTGGCTATGGAGAGAAGAAAACAAAAAAATAAATAAACAAAACAAACAAACAAACAAACAAAAAGTATTTCCAAAGATATTAGATTATTTTTTTAAAAATAATAATAATTAAAAAACAAGAACAAAAGAAATCACCTTGCTTTGGCGCACGTATTGGGCTACTTTACTGTTTGTAGTATATGAACAAACAAAAAAAAAACAACCAAACCAACAAACAAATAACAAAAAAACCCTATCCTGCCTGGAAAAAATTACCCACACTGCATTGCATTATAGCTTCATTAGGTTTGTTTTAGATGCTAATCTATAACTCCACTTCTCCAAGACACTTTCTAAGTTCTTCTGCCTTTTTCTCCATCTGCTGAATGTTCCAGTGCCATTGTCTTTTATTTGAATGCAGTTTGTTCAGCTGACAGTGCAAACGTTTCAGAATAGCATCGTATCTTTTATTCTGTACCTAAAAAAAAATAGAATAAAATGCACTTCAAAAGTTTTTCAAGCAAAGTATGACAATATCTTTTTTTCCTAAACAGCTTGTGGCTATGGAGAGAAAAAGGGAGAAAAACAAACAAACAAACAAACAACAGAGTTTATTTATTTACAGAGTTCTGTTCACCTAATTGTATGTGTCAATTCTGACATCCAACTGTGCCATTCCACGCTGACTTCACAGTTACTGAAAAAACACAGAAACATTTAAGAAGCCATTGATCTAGTTTACTTTCTTTACCTGCTTTGGGAAAATATCAATCATACCTCTTTCTCCCCTTTAGGAAAAAAAACCAAAAACAAACAAACAAAAAAAAACTGTTTCCCATCAAAAGCTTAGGTGACTAATTCAATGTTCATACCAATGTTTAACACAGTAAATTCCATCTGAAAAATCATGAGTGAGTATCTTACAGCTGTGGCAAGGCTTTGTACATGGAGCATTTCATGTTCCAGGGTAAGAAGTCAGAAAGGAAGAAATTTTCATTCTTTGATTAGAGTGTGTGGATATAAGAATACAAATGAAGTGGTCCAGATGGCCTCTGTAGCATCTTCACTGTTAGCATGCACTTAGAAAAATGTTTGTTTATTGTTTTTCAGAAAGGCAAACCTGTAACAATGCAGTACCAGATCAGTTTTGCCCCTACTGAGAAGTACTGCTGTCACAGACAACCCTTTGGAGATTTGCTTTCTGAAGTGTAAAAGCATGAAACATTCATTGCAATAAAAATGGAAATATACTTAATGAAATTTCATTTAATGAAAATTTGGCCTCAGCATAATTTGAATAATGTATGAGTGGCAATACATTCTAGTGCCAGAAAGATAAAACATCATTACATTGTGTTAAACGCTCATGATGGCGTACAGCTGCAACAGAGCTACAGCACTGACAGTGACTTCCTGTGAGTCATTAAATTTCTTACAGATCAGGCTGCCCAGAGACCCATCCAGACTGGCCTCAAATGCCTCCAGGG